TCACCTGGCTCTGAGCCTGTGACCCTGGATGTTATAGCAGGGCATCTCACCTGGCTCTGAGCCTGTGACCCTGGATGTTATAGCAGAGCATCGTGTTTTGAGGGGTTGTAGGTTGGGAGTTTCTTTAAGGACAGGTACAGTATGGGTGTTAAACCCTTGGTGACTGTTCTAGAATGCCTCGCATAGTGCCGTGCCCTTGGTTTTGTTGAATGAATAAATGCAGTTGGCTGCAGAGTTGGGGTGAAAACAGGGGAAGCCTTCCCTTCGGCCTCCTCAGAAATGGGCAGTACGGAGTCTTTGGGGGTTTCCCACCTTTTCTCTCAAAGGCAGATGGATAGGGCATGTTGGAGGTGTTTTAGCATGGGAACAAGTGAAGTTCAGCTGCTGTTTCTGATGTTTTGGCTAATGACTGTGTCCTGTGGATTACTCACATGGCACCATGTAGGCATTAATTGGAAAAGCACTGCAAACCTCTTTTTCTTCTACTCCACCAGGCCGTTCTCTCTACCCAACTTTGCTGCTCTTATGCAGTTTTCCTTGTTGTCCATGCTAAACGAATCCATATGTTTTATCTCTTCTCAATCCGGGGTGTAAATGAGGGAGAAAACGCAGTTCTGAGAATGAGAAGGACTGACCCTGTGGATGGGTCTTCTGGAGCTGGTGTCATAGGAAGGTGTTTATGGGGGCATCGCTGGCGTGGGAGGCACCAGTCAGCCCCGCGCTGGACCCATCAGAAAGGAAAGCTAGGATCCCCGCGCTCTCGGAACTTCGTTTTTGTTCATCATCGACCCTGGACCATGGGGAAAATGGGAGAGAGGACTGGTGACTGGTTTGCATCTAGACAGTGAAAAAATAAATTCCGCATCCATCCCATTTCCCCCAAACCTCCCTTTGGTGCCCCAGTTTGATGATTAATGGACCAGCATTTCCCTTCTAAGCGGGAAAGCCACCCCTTACAGTTGCCATGGCGATGCAGACCGCTCCCCCGTCAATTAAAAAAAATCCCTACTACTTCTCTCCTCTTTGCTTCGACTGTAGCAGAAGAAAAGCTACCTCAGAACGCATCCCCGGCTCTCCTCAGCTTGTCAGGCAGCATTTGCTGCGTGTCCTAGAACCCAGTCCTGCCGTTCTTTCTGGGGATTGCCTGAGTTCCTTTATCCTGGGCAAGTTGTGTCCCTCTTGGAGCCAGCACCCTAGAACTGTTTCTGTCAAGAAGCAGAGAAAATCTTTGTTTGTTTATTCATCCACAATGCAAATTAAAAATAAGGAGAACTCTGTTCTCTTTTTTCTTTTAGATTAAAAAAAAAAAATCTGCACAGCTTCCCTGGTGTTTAGAGGTATAAATAGGAAGCAGTTGACGTCCGTAAAGAAAGTTTTAGTAAACCTGGAAAGAGTTGCTGCAACTTCCCAACGTACATATTTCAAATTAGAGTTCTTTAGAGATTTTCGTTCTATTTTTTTTCATTTTGTAAAATTGACACGGGGTCATTTGACCTCCTCTAACTTCACGAGAGGGGAGGAGAATCGGGATCAGCAGTCCAAGGCTGAGTCCCGTGAGGTGGAGGTCGAACATTCATACCTCCATCCTCCAACCTTCTTACCAGTTCTGACACCAGCTGTCCCTCCCATGACACTCTGTGCTTCTCCGCTGGGTTCTATCATTCGCTGCAGTGGCCACACAGAACTCACAGGCAATACTCAATGATTAAGGGGTTTATTAGGAAAGTAACAGGTTACAATTCAGGATCAGGAATGACTCAGGATACAGAGCTTAGATCAGGACAGTTTCTTGGCCGTGCCTGCAAGCAGGCCTCTCCCTCTGCCTCTCGGCCCCTCAGCCTTTTGGGCTGGCCCTGCCTGGCCTGTGCCCTGTTGGGCAAGTGTTAGAAAGCTCTTTAGGTCCACCAGTAGGTGCCCTGGGGGCACCCCACTTCACCAGTAAGCCTCGGCCCGAAGGCGCTGAGCTCTCGCTCCCTGGGTCGGCAAGCCTAGCTCTGCTGACAAGTGCCCAGAGGCACACAGCTCTCTTGCTTCATGGGCTGGAGGCCCACCGTGCTGTCTCCTGCAGGTCTCCTGGTTCTGCTGCTGCTGGTTTTCTGCCGTGCTTTTGCTACCACTTCTCACCATATTGTACCGTCTGCGGTGTTAACAGCTGTCTCTCCCTGTCTCGTGGGTTTAGGAGGTTCTCAGCGCAGGGACCCCGGGTCCAAAGGACATGCTCTGCTCCCATCTCTTATTGATGGTAGTGAGGTCCCCCCTTTCCACCTCTGGGATGGCTCATTTTAAGCCTAGCGGAATGGCAAAACTGACCAATCCCCTCGTTAGGGTTCCGTATGCCTTATTTGCATGATCCCACCCCCAGAAGGGTGCCATGCACCTTATTTACATTATTAGTAAGCTGTCTGATCCCCTTGGTGGGCCACAAGTACCTTACTTGCACAGTGCCGCCCAGTCATTTGTTAAGCGTTACAAGACCCTGGGGAGAAAGGCCATATAAAAGCTATCCATCGCACCGCACGTTCCTCCCCACTTCTTTGTCCTGAGCATCCAGGAGGACTTGTGTGTTTTCGTTTTATCTGTTCTTATTCTTCTTGGCCTTGTTCAGACAACATCTGGCCTCAGCACCCTGTCGCCAGGTGAGTCATTCAGGAGGGGGAAAAAGTCTTAAGGAAAAAAAGTCTCTGGAGTTTAGAAGTAGCCTATGTTGACTGCTGGCTGAAGCTGCCGGGTTTATGGAGCATTATACGAACAGCTCCGACATTAAAGGGCCTCCTTTTTATGAATGGGTCGTGAAGAATGTAAATAAAGCAGCATCTCTCAATGGGGAAGCATTTTACATAAGCAGTACTACCCCGGCCCAAGTATTTAGGCCCAAGTATTTATGGGAATTCGCTAGCACAGTCTGGCAGGGCTCACTTCCTTTGTGAACTTGCCATTGTGCTGGGGACTCGAGGCCTTTGGAGGGATGAGGAGAGTGCTTTGGTTCTGACGGCAGCCCCAGCACTCCCGTTCTGCAGGTCCCCAAGGCCCCCTCATGGCTGGAAGTGCCTGTTAACCCTGAAAAAAGGAAAGAACTTCTGATGATTACAAGCACAAGCTCCTGACACCTGGGGCCCTGGGGTCCTACAGCTCCTGACCCCTTGGGCGGAGCTGCCCAGACCTCCCTGGGATGGGACAGGGAGGTCCTAGATGATGAAATTCTGCCCGGTTTTATGGGAGGCACCTAACTGGAGTAAAATGGACTGGTTTGAATTTCAGCTCCTTTATGTTTCCCCTGCCCACCTCCTGGTCCTGCCGCTAATGAGCAGTAAAATGGCTAAGGAGGAGGAGGAAGAGCAGCCGGGGCGGCGGGCAGGCTGCAGACGCCTGCTTTGGCCCCGCCAGCCTGGCCAGCATCCTCGACTCCACCAGCAGCTCCACACCAGCTGGCCCTGGGGTTCCGACGAGGGCATTGGTGTCTTAGCCCCAGGACACTTGGTCTGTGGGTTGGTGAGCAGGCCACAGGGTAGGGTCACGTCCAGGACTCTGTGTGGTGTCCTGGGGAGGGTTTCATCCAGACCCCATTTTCCCAGTGAGAAATCCCTTTAAGGATGGTTATTTACCTGATTCAGTGTCCTTCACACAAGAAATAACATTGTCCCTCAGATTTTCTATAGGCCACGACCCGTCAGGAAGAAAAGCTCTTAGTCTTTCAGCCTCACTGAGATTTGAATTGGGAACTTATTTTCAAGGCACTGTGACCAAGTTGCCTGAATGAAAAACCGACAAGTGACTTTTCTTAGTTAACGAGGTCAGTGCCAAGAACTTCGGTCGACATCATTATCCTTGTGTCGGTTCCTTTTCCAGTAGCTTTGGGGAGAAGAGGTACTTAGATCCCCATCCTCAGTTAGGGAGGTGGCACCTAGCGTCTTTCTTGAGTCCAGGGATCTCAGCTGGAAGGGTGCTGACTGCTCCTGCTTTCTTTGTATTCCCAGTGCCTTTTTGCGCCTCTCACCCTGGATGCAGCCATTCCACTTTCCGGCTGGCAGAGGAGAGGGGTGGCCCACGCTTAGGCACTTCTCCAGCGGCAGCTGTCTGTCTCAGATGTTTGGGAAAAATTCAGTTTTGTGACACTCAAGGGTTAACCACATTCCCATTTGGCCAGGTGGTTTAGAGGCGAATTGTTAGTTTTTGGAGGGTCTTTGTCGAAATCCCAGGAAAGATACTAGGGTGCTGCTTGATGCCAGCAAGTCCTGACAAGTAGGCCGGAAGGGAAGCTGGAGTCATCTTTCTACCACGGTGAGGGTCAGTCAGGCCCTCCTCAGTGGGGAGGGGTGTCCCCTGCTTTGTGGTGGAGGGGCTCACAGGATTTGGACAGAATGCAGAAAAGAATTATAAAAATGATGAAATGGCTGTAGGAGGTGGTCGAGATGGTCGTCAGAGATAATAGAGAAGATTTGGATTTGTTTAGCCCAACGAGGTAGCCAAAGGGCAGTTAATATGTCTCCACATATGATGATGGGTATGGGGGGTGTGATCACCACTTTTCAGTGTTCATTGTAGTCCAGGCTGGAGGCAGAGGGTTTCATCGGAGGCAGGAGACATTCTTAGATTCACAGGGGATGTTTACAGACACTTTTTCTAGATCGACTGTAAAATCTGGGCAAAACGTATCCCTGAAGTGTTATCCCCTCACTCCTCTCTAGGATATAAAAAGGGCTTGTTTCAGAAGTATGTGTTAGAGATTTTGGGCAACTTTGAGCAAACTTTCCTGTCAAAACAATTTTTTAAATTACATTTATGTTCCCTGGCCAGCCTGTGGCTGCTTTTAACCCAACATTTAATTACAGTATCTTCAATTCCTTTCTGGTGAAAAATCAAGAAAAACTAATAATATGTTATAATGTCAATAATTAAAGCAACACTGGAAAACAAAATCGAATGCGAAAGTAGATGTTGACTGTTGGTCTGTGATCCAGCAGCTGTCCTGCGAAGCCCTAGACGGAGGCAGAGTGTCACAGTGGGGAGTGTGGGCTTTGGACAGCCACCTGGACAGCCCCACCTCCCTCACTAGCGGCAGGATTGTGGGCGTGTTCTCTTGCCTCTCTGTATCTGTTTTCTCCTTCTTAGAACAAGAAGGTGATAACAACTCCCTCATAGGGCTGTTGGGAGGAAAAATGAGGTAGTGTCGTGTGCTCAGGGTGGTGCTGGGTGCACAGCGAGTGCTTGGCAGACGTTAGCCACCCTGTTCTAACAGAAAACGCTGCAGTTCACGAATTCCCTGTCACACACACTGGAGGGTTTGGGGGCTGATCATGCTAAGGCTGGTTCTTTGCTACTGACTCCACCTTCACATCTGGAACATCCTTTATCTTGATATAAGTATGCCTCTGGTAGCAGACTCACTTGCTTAACGGTTTGAAGGGAACAAGTAGAATGGGAGAAATATCCTCCTGAGGCAG